ACGACATTCTAATTTATTGAGATGCACCTGTATATTTATATATATATTTTTACAATGCTGTTCATTATTGTCCTATGACGTCTTCCTTTTCAAATCTACACAGTTTAAGGAGCTTTCAGACTTTCAGTATTGTACTTTAAGGGTTTAATGACATCAGACAAACTAAATATATCTAGTCCACTGACTTAGTTCAATAATTGGTGAAGCCTGATGAATCCAGCTCTTTACTTTCAGATACATCAGGACTCACTGAGAGGAAGCTCTGTGTTAATGCTGGACCTCTGATGACATCAAAGGAGGAGCTACTTCATTTTAAGATGACTTGACCTTCAACGACCCCTCAGAGTAATTCCAATCACCAGGTGAACTACTGTTAGTGTACAATCTTTAATGTAGAAACAGTTTATCAGAGAAAACTCCACAGAATAATATTAGCATCCTTCTGTTTCTCCAGTCCTGTAAAGACAATCTTTTAATATTATTTTAACATTTTAGTAGCATTTTAAGTACTCAGTTGATTTATATGTTAACATTTGACCATTTAGCGCAATGGTGTTTCACAGAAGTTGAGATTATAGATAATAAATCGCTTGCTGACCAGTAAAATATAGGCTAACAGCTATTATGAGGCAAATGGATGAGTCATTCAGGGCCAACACAAGCTGACTCAAACACTGTTGCATTATAGTCTTCTGTTTGTTTGTCGTTTGAGCCATCATAAATGTTTTTAACTGTGTATGACCCATGACCGATTATTTCTGTGGTGATCCACTAACGTGCTCAGACAATGATAATGGGGTGTGTGGTTTATTTTATGACTGAATAACTTGCCTGCTTTTTAAAGCACCTGTCATCATTCAGTCAGCAGGTGTTCACCGAAGGACGCCAGCCATGTTTCTCTACGCTGCTTCACAGACAGTAGACATCGTGGTACATGTCGACCCATGGCACGTGTTTATAATTGTTGGGAAGTAGGGAGATGCTGTTTAAACAGTTCTCTCATCTGCACACATAAAGCTCATTCCTCATCCATGGTTCCACTTGGAATTTCATTCCTTTCATACGCGGGACTCAAACTGTTCTTACATCTATGTCCATTTTCTGAGCAGTGCCACTGACCTAACTCTCCCTGTTGAAAAAA